CCTTTTCAACACTTTTTAGCCCACAGACACGTGTCAAATGGTTGCTGTAACACACCCTTTCTTCTTAGATTTTATAGACACTAACTTTGCATATAAACCGTCCAAAAGTTAATGTCAAAGTAAAAGATTTGTGTAAAAGTGTGTCAAACTCCAAGGTCATGGTCAAAAGGTCAAAATTGGTTGTACACAAAAAAGGTCTTGTCACAAAAATACAACTGAAATATGAAAGTCATAGTCCCATCTAGTTTAAAGTTATGGGCAAGGTTCAAGTATTTGCGGACAAATAGACAAACAGACAGACGGACGGGCAGGTAAAAAAACCCATATACCCTCGAAACCGTGTAATATGTTAAGTAACAACTTTTTCATAATCCAACATTTGTTGTTTTTTATTTCTATTGGTAAAAAACTCTTAAAATCATCGCATGTAAGTACATGTAGAACGGGGAAACGAAACTACATGTGCCAATTTTTTGGAAAAACGAGCACCTCTTTTTTCAGTTAATCATGTTTTATGCTACAACCCCCATTTTGCTATGGTTTTGTTGACACTTACAAACGACAAGACATTTTACAGGTTTTGAGCTAACCATTTTTTATTTCGTTTGTATCATAGGTCAGAGGCAATTTATAATTTCTTACTTATTTTTACAAATTAAATCATCCCTATTTTCTATAAGAATCCTTAAATCCAATCATAGAAAACGATTTTTTTTATAAGATCTAATTCTATAAGCTAGCGCCCTTTTTCGCGCCAGTTTTAATAGCCTTGTTCCATGATCCCTTGCACAATAACGAAGTCATGGGACAAGACTACAATTTTTAAAGTATAGGAAACAAAAGCTTTAAACTTTTGAAAAAAAAATTATTTTGAGTTTTGCAAATTATTTATTCAGGGTAAAATCAAAAAGATTTATAATTAATTAATTATAGAAAATTTTTAAACTTTTTTTCAGACACCAGCGAGAAAATGACCTTTTTTTAAAGATTAAATTGACAACTGTGGAAACTTACTGTATAAAATGTAATAAACGATACAATGAATGTGCGTATCTTTGCTCTAATAACTGTTTTTCTTTAATGGGGATAAAACGGTTTGTATTATTAACGTTAGGTATTGTTTAGCTTTGATTTCGTTATTTAAGCTAAACCGTTATTTAAGCTAAACCGTTATTTAAACTTAAAAGCTTTCAGAAATTAACACCTCAAACCATAAGGAAGTTTAATATTACCCGTATTCATTCGCCTAACAAGAATATTCCCACAAAAACGAGTGTTTTTGCATCTCAAAATGATAAGGGGTCATTATTCTACGGGGTCATTTTTCTACAATGCACATGGAGAAAAACGACCCCAAGGCCATAATTTCTACAGAAAAGTGGGTCATTTTTCTACGTAGAATATTGACCAGGGGGTCAAATTTCTACGTAGAAAATTGACCCCCGGTCAATATTCTACGGGGGTCACTTTTCGTCGTTACACCGGTCGTTATGGCGGCCCAAGGTATGTACCACACAATACTGACACTTTCCTTTGTTATTGGAAAACCTCTCGATCTTGTAATTTATGCATGTTTTAGTAAATCTTTTCGCAATGAATTTTTCAAGTTATTTGGGAATTTTAAATTATTTCTTAACTCTGAAAGTTTTACAAATACTAAGATTACTGCTGTTAGTGAATCGGTAACGGATATATCAAAAACTATAAAGAAAACAAAATGTTAATATCTATATAAACATATACTGTAAATTCACATACATGTATTTTTGTGGGGTCAAATGTTTGAGGAATAATATTGATTTCTTGAAATTTGATTTGCTGGTTGGAGAATGTTTAGTAAGTAAAACATATGAAATGTTATATTTTGTGGTGGTCACCAATTCGTGGGTCTCTCAATACCTCGAAAAGAACGAAAATTAACCCCCACGAAAATTATTGATTTTACAGTAGAAGCTAAGGTATATTTAAGAGAAATTTTGAAAAAGTCTATAGCTACAAGTATTTCCATCCTAAAAATAAAAAAAATTTAAAAGTTCAAAAGAGAATTTTAAAAAATGCATTTATTTTCACTTTATTTACATTCCCTTGGCCTCTGGAACGATTGACAAATCGGTAATTTTGGAATGAATTGTAAGCCAACTCAAAACTCTTTCAATGGATGTTAAATACAGTTTGTTTTTTTTTTTTTTTTTTTACTAAAATTACTGCTTTTAGTGAAACTGTTTATTGCTAAAATTGTATAGATTGCAATATTTCTTCAGATAATTTACTTGTAAAATAATTATTTCTGTACAAAAACGTTTATATTGTGATTAAAAGGGAAAATATTTTACATCAGAAGTACAGTAGGGAAAAATAACACTGAATGAAGATACCAAGCTCCAGAGAGAGAGAGAGAGAGAGAGAGAGATCAGTTTTACGTTTGGCTACAACTCCTAATACATTATATATTTCAAAGTATGAACGTGCCGATTGCGAAAATATTTTGTAATTGAAAAAATATGTTTGAATCGGTTTAATTCTGTTTGGAAGAGATTTTTATTTTATGAAATACATTGTAACACATATATTATACCGAGTTTATATTTCGTACAAGACCTAGGTAATTAATTTTCCGTATTTTTGTATATGCAGATACCTTTTTTAATTAAGCCGAATCAAAAAGAAATAAATTGAGTAAAGATTATACATTTTGTAGCTTTATGTTGGTTACATTTTTTGTCAATTGAAAGATTTTTTTTTAAAAAAATGTCTTTTTCGTGTTTTCCAAATGAAATAAAATTTATGCTTATTCCTACAGCCTTGGTTTTATTATGCATGCCTGTTGGCCATACTATGTTGAGCACATGGCGAGGATGATAACTGGACTTTTTCGAGGAGCGCTGATTTTTACAATTGACAGATTACTTTTACACTTGGAAGGAAGTTCTTTTACAATAGAAATATTTGTCTCAACATTTAATTCAACGAAAATATAGGATTATTTCAAAGCAAAAATAAGTTGTCCTAAAAAAAAACGACAACCACCTTACCCTCAATTTCAGCTTTCATATTTTAGTGCCCCTCACACCATACCTATGACCATTAGAAAGGTTTTCTTATCTATTATCAATTATATACCTCCTTATCTCTTCACAACTTACTGAGCGGTGACGCAACATATCGTTAATGTTTACTTCATAGAAATATGAATTAACCTTTTCCCCGCAAATACCTTTAGTTATTTATTTAAGTACAAGTTTCTCTAAATTTGAGTGCAAATAATATGGTGTAATATTCTTAAAGATGATAACATTTTCTGATTTATAAGATTTTTGCAAGAAGAAAATAGACCTGTGGAAAATGGCATAAAATTCAATACAATGTATTGAATTTACTTTTGAAAGTGAGTGAAATTAATTGATTGCGGGGAAACAGTCTATGTGTGATTTTGCGTAAGAAATAGGAAGTGGTATAATTATATGCGTTAAAATGCGTGATTGCAGGGGAGAGGGTTAAATTACATGATACAGGATTAAAGGTGAATAGAAACCGATTTGATGGTTTTTTTTTTATATTTTCTCAAATGTTCTATATAATTCATGACTTTTATATTGCTATAACATTTCATACGAAAATATAATAAAATCCTATTTTTGTCTGGAAGTTATTGAGACATCGAATTTTAAGACGTGTTTTATTGACACATCCTTACGCTTTCACAAACTTTAACTTATTTCTTAAAAAGTGTATTTACATTATTTTTCTGATGACTTGCCACAAATTTATGCTAAATTTATCAGGTAAAGGATCACAAGGCGGGTGTGACCGGTCGGCATGGAAAGCTCACTCGTCCTTGGCACCTGATCCCACTTCTGATGTTTTGGAGGTCCGTGATTGTTTGATCCTACTTTGTGTTGTTTTATGGATTTTTGATCTTGAATACTGTTCATTATCTCAATATTTTTTATATAATGAAATATTGAATTTCTTCGATCAGGCAATGTTTTTGAACATTTCTTATTTGTTTCATTATATTTAAAATATATCAATGTTATTCAATTAATAAATCACAAACATGTATTTATTGAAATGTGGCTAAATACATGTACGAGTTAAGATATCTGTCTGTAAGTTGTAAACAGAGCGGAAATGAAATGAAAGGAAATGTTTACTCACATTTAATACATACATGTATACATGTATAAATGTAGTTCAGGCGAACTAACTTTAAATATTATATTCGGATGAATCAAATTTCATATTATTCTGTTTGAAAATTAATTCTTTATTTTTGAATCAGAAACCATGTTTAATTTCAATCTGCTTACATGTACAATAAATTCACGGGATACTACAGCATGTTAAAAACAAATAGTAAATTACACAAACAGTGAAAACTCAACCTTTAATTAGCAATGCCACAAGAATTTTTTCACCTTCTCTAAAAATTTTTTTCTCCATGTCTATTTCATGAGTTGGTCAAATAAAACTTATTACAATTTATTTGAACTCAATAACTTCAAAAATGACTAAGTTATGGGTATGTGAACATTTGAAATATTTGAAACCAATTTTAATCCGGATTTAGAAAAGAAAAAAAAGTAACCAATTAACCAATGTCTATAACTTTTTTATTTGTGGATATTTCTTCTTGAAATTTTCAGGATTTGTTCATTGCAAGCTCAAAGGAAAAACTAATAAAGTATGATTGTATCATGATATGTATAAATGACATAATTAAGCTAATTAGCTAATGCTAATGCTTCGTCGCGAAGAATTGTCCACTTATATATTCCATTTTCCATACATATTAGTCAATGGTACTTTAATCTTCTTTCTGAAACATTAATGAAACTTAATGTTAAACATTTTCCTTTTCATACACAATCTCTTTCCCTATAATTAAAAGTGCAATGTTAATTAATTTCTTGTAATTCTCAAATGAAGTATGATAACATACAAATAAAAAAAACGTAGCTATTTTTAATGAATAAAATTATTTTTTAATACTTACCAAGTCAAGGTAATTCTAACATTATGGAGGAAACCAGAAATGTGTCTATAGATATCTGCAACCATGGAAAAATTAGGGTACCTACAAGTAAAAAAAAAGTATTTACTACTTGAAATAAGAATGAAATTTTAATACATGGATCAAATTTCATTACATATGCATTCAATATTTTTTTTTTCAAATAGAATTCTAATTTTGAAAATTAGATATCTTATTATTGACATAAAAATAATATATTAGAATTTTAAATCTAATGAAAAAAATATATAAATAAACTTAATATAAACATAATAATAAATTAGCCATATAAAAGAGAAGAGGGAACAGGAGACATTCTTTTTTAATGTAAATTTTCTCTTTCTGGAGATGTAAATTATAGATTGTCATCTGAGGAAACATGCTATAAAAACTCACTACCTGTGAGGACATGCAATAATAAAACAAATGTAAAACACTGAACTTTTTAACTGAAGATCCTTACACATAAAAAAGGGACTTGACTTTGCCATATACATGTACATCTAAAAAAAAGTCTTTAGAAATCCTCATGAACATTTAATAAAAAAAAGTAAATTTGAAATATGTACATCTTAATCTGTTGATCATGTTGTGCCTGTTGCACTATGAAAAGACAATTTTAAGTTCCCCTTTTCTGTAATCATCTAACAAGTTATAAGCATAAATAGCTTCATCATTTTCATATTTGATGTTGTACCATGTTGGAAAACCGGGTACAACTCCAAGGACTTTTCCTTTGTACTTTTGTTTGTCTGCGAATGTATGTTCCACTAGTTTTCCAACGAGAAGGGGTGCATCTGAATATTTTATTTCACTAGTGTGAATACTTGCTGCAGATGCTATTAAAAGCAAAATATTTTTTTTTAAGTCCTGGACAGATAGTTTTTCATATTTACCATCTGGTTTCTTTCTTGATAAGTTAAAAATTTTGCTGTCCTTGTGCTTCTGTTTCAAGACATTCTTTCGGAATTTCAGTTGTGCTTGTAAAGCATTAATCAATTCCTTCTCGTTCCTTATCCTTCCCATGCCTTCTTCTACTTGTTGTTCACTCTGCCACAGTCCATAATAACAAACATCGTTGGTCATCTCTTCTGCTCTTCTAATTCTCTCTTTCTCCAGCCTCTCCAGTTCCATCTGTTTCCGTCTCTGTGCTTCTAATCTTTTATTTTCTATCTCTTTTAACCGGTCTTTAAAAACTTTCCTAATTTCTCTTCCTCCTTTCCTAGAATCCTCAATGATTTTCTTCCTTTCATCTGGTGGTAACTCCCTCAACCATTCACTCGTTTTATTGAATGCATACATAAGATAGGCCTCATTCGCTAGTACAGATGCATTTGGACGAAAAGAGAGGAGATGATCTAACTGTCCAAAAATAAACTCAGGTAGTTTGGTGTGTTTTAACACCGAGCTTGTTTGTTTCCGGACTGTGGCTGAGATTTCCCAGAATTATCACTCCGGTAAATGTTCAGAAATCATTCTTTTTAACAATTCCTTGATAGCTCTGAAAAGAATCTGTAAAAGTGGAAGACAAATTGGGTCAAGCTTGACATCTTCTTTTAAAAGTTTATTTAAAACTCTGTCGTTTTCATCCATAGGAGTTGGGAAAGGCATTGAGCTTCCACGAAGAAAGTCATTAGCAACATCTTCCTCTGCTGAAGCTGTATCCAGGTATTGAACAAGGGTCTGGTAGTTGGTATTCATGTCCAAGATATGTCCCGGACTCTCAATGAGTCGCCATAATGGAGCAGTCACAAATTTTGACAGCAAACCAAGTATTCTGGCACCAGCAAGGTACAAGGGTTCTTCGGAATCATATTTGACTGCTTTCAATAAATCATTTTTTAAGTTAGTCAAATTCATTGCACACTCAACAAGTTCTGGAGTAAATTTGTTCTCTTCAGGGTCAAAAATATACAGGTCTGCTTCATTCTCTAGAAGTCCTTGTAAATAGTCATTTGATATTGAAAGTTCCTTAAGTTCTTCCTCTAAATGATTTTTTTTGGCTATTGCAACATCATATTTCTCTTCTAATTGGCTCACAGTACTTTGTAGTTTCTCAACTGTATATTCTGTTGCTTCCAGTTTCTTGGAAATGAATCGAACTTTTCTGTTGGAATCTACCAGTGAACGTAAATGTTGTTTGTTTCTAATCTTTGCTTTCTCTAGTAATTTATTTTTTGAAACTAGTTCCTTCTCCATTTTAATAACAGTTTTTTTTACTTTGATCTTCCTTTGCTTTCTTCGCTTTACTGACTTCCATCCGCTTCTCTTTCCTTTCTAGTTTTCTTTTTAACTGCTTGTTTTTTTCTGTCAATTCAATTACCTTTGTTCGTCTTTCCTGTAGTTTCTCTGTGAGGGAACTTAATTTAACCTCAGCCTTTTCTTCACTGTCTTTAGATTGTGCAGACCTTTGTGCAGACATCCTTATATAGTCCATGTGTACTGGAATCTCAAATTCCTCTTTTCTATACTGTTCTCGTAAATTACCCCTTTTTTTTATCCGCACCAACCACTCTGTGTATTTTGGATAGACATGCTTCGACATTTACATTTTCTTTTCGAGCAATTTCTCCAAGTTTGCGCACAATTTTCAAGTATTCCATTTGTTTGGATTTTCCAAAATTGAATATTTCTATAACAGCACCTTTGTTTATTTTATTAGAAAATTGGACACTAGGTTCTAAAAATATTGAGGAGAGGTCCAGTCCTAAATCTTTGCAATAGGACATTTTAAAATTTATAATAAATGTTCCAACTTAGACCCAAAATAGTTCCAAATACATGTGTTTGTGTTTTTTTTTTCATGTACATTCACAACTTCTACTAAAGCGTCTTCATCAAAAATAATTCAAATTGTATTTGTAGCAAAGGAGCCTGTAAAAACTGTTTGAGTGGACTTGCCTTTTTTTGTTGATTTTCTCCTTTTCAGCAGGCTTTGGGATTGTTCTGTTTCCGAGTCGGATGTTGTTGGATTTCCAACAGCCAAGAAGTGATTTATCTGCAAAAAAAAATTTGCAAGTCATAAATATTTCAAGGAAATTCACCTTACATTTAAAATACATAATTGTCATTTTTTATGTTTTTGCGATAAAATTGTTTCAACATATCATACTTGTCTCTTCCTTGGTTTTGCTGCTGAGTCACGTAGCTTCTTTGGGCTTTTCACAATTGTTGGACTTTCAGGGGAGCTTGCAATTGTGTCTTGACTAATGTCTTGACTGACTTGAGTTGATCCTGAAGGACCCTGGGTGGCGTCCAAATCAAGTGACCCCAGGGCCCTGCAGAAAGCCAACAAATTGCTTAAAACATGTATGCAGCATTTGGAATAATTACACATGTATATTTTTTATTCATGACAATAATTTATTAAATAAATCATAAACCATTTACTACATCATACATGCTAATATGTGTAGTACTAGTAATTAACTAATTTGTAAACATGATATTTAAAATATAAAATCAGAATAATTATACTGGAGTATATACTGAAATAATTAACTACAAAGATATCTATAATATAGAACAAATATTACATTTTATGAAACTACCTCTGAATCTGTTTCACTCTCTGTAAACAACAGTTGGGAATATTCGTCCACTAATAAAAAACAATTTCGAAATCGACTTCAGTTGTGATAAATTTATGCATAAATATAGAATAAATGCTTAGTTGCCTTGAATAATTGTAGTTTCCACTTCTATAAGACTTTTAACTGTTTGCAGTCATGGATTGGCACATATTTTGTTGTTATCAGCGTTAACTACAAGAATAGAGTTATCGTTCTTGGAACTTCCGTAGCTCTACGAAAAAGCGTCTTTTCCCAACTATTACGCTTCATTCTATGACAAACTCGTTTTCACATGTTCACTTAGGTATGTAAACAACATTTTGATGTGCATTACGTATGCGTATTTACCTTACAAGTAAAATAAAAACATCGATAAAAAACTCCGAGCGGATTTATACTTACTTCTTGATAGAGCCCGGGAAAATTTTTGTCAAATACGTCACACAGAAAGGATTTCCCATTAAAAATAGCTGGCACATTCGGACACCTCTGATGTTTTCATAGGAAAAAAACCCGTAATGAAAACGATGTAAACCGAGGTTAGGATTGCGCCATTTTCTTATTTACGATCTACAGCGCCGCCTAGCGAGCTTTCGCATTGCTACTTTAATAAACTTTAATAGAAGATTACTACGTTAAGTCCACTTTAAAACATGATTTTAATAATATATATTTTCTGTCTTATAGTAATACCACCTTAAGTCCTATAGCCAGAACAGAAAATTATCATTAAATTATAGTATTTTACGAATTGTAAAAGAATATTTCATCCATATACAGCGGCGATAATATTCCTAAAAATTACGTTGCTTATTAAAGAAAAGTCTTATCAATAAATGATTATATTCAAGAACACTTTCTATTGCATCAAACGAAACCGAGGCTCCGATATACCACGTGTTATACATGCCTTGCATGTCCAATATATCCCAGACTGCACCACCGGTTATAGCTTCCGATGGAAAATTGGGGAAATAATACCCCCATTTCACCTGTTGAACAACTTCAGGATTGGCTTTATTAAAATCTCTGAGGTGTTGAAAAAGTTTTCTTTGAATATCAGCGTCCACGTACTTGTTCCATGGATTCGCCTTTCCTAGTTGTACGTACACGCTTGTTTCGTAAACGCTTCCATCTTTGTCTCTGTTTTCTCTGTTTCCCAGCTGATAATCCCTTCCGGTCACGTTATTTACAGCTTGATGCGGGTTAATCGTTCGATAAACTGTATATTCCACGTCTTGAAAATCATAGGGGAAAATTTCAAGTGGAGAAAGGGCCCTTCTACCAGGAGAGATGGAGTTAACGATTGTTTTTAGAATATATAAATGCCGGAGATGTTTGAAAATTCTCAACTCCTGCTGATTAAAATCAACAATGGGAAATAAGGAATTCATCGAAGGAGTGAGAATAAGAAAGTCAAATTTCTCCATAACAACAGCAGGAGAATTTTTATTTCTATAAAATATTCGAACAGTTTTTCCTCTTCGAATTTGCTTTATGACGACATTTAAACGAATTTCAACACCAATTCTTTTAGCAATGTTACGGCATAAGTTCTGCCAGCCCCCGATCAGGCGGTAAGCTCCCCTTTCAGGTTTGAAGAATGAATCCATCACCTGCGGGGATAAAAACGTGAGACCATAAAACGCTGCCGTCTCATTCAAAAATCCATATCCGTTTAAGGTTAAAGCAGCGAAAACAATGGCTGTAGATCTGTAAGGTTATATCTCAGAAGAAAATCGTCCACTGTCCCTCGAATCTAAAAAAAAAAGGATAAACCAATTATTTCTCAATTGGATTTACGTCGTCTGCGAGTGGTTAGAGTGTTTGTTCCAGTAGCGTGTTCGATTAGATATATGTAACAATACTGGAAAATAACTTTTAACAAAAAAAAAAACTTAAACTAATTCAAACGTTTACATTCAAAATGAAAAAAAAAACTTTCATTGCATTCTACATTAAAAAAGTTTAAATTTGTTCTCATTTAGATTCTATATAAGTACTTGTAAATCTGTTCTAACATGTAATTCTTTCATCTGGATTTATAGCATAAATAATGAAATATACCTACCCTATAGAGAACTTCCGCAGATGGCCTTGGCATTATTTCTCCTTCGAACGTTCCGAAAAAACATCTATACAGAGCATTGTAACGCCTTGACGCCTGAAATAATCTCGGAATGGAAACCCCAGCGGTTTGGAGACTGGATGTGAATTCTACAAAACGCAGAATGGAAATGAAAAAAAAAAAAAAACGTCATTGACATTGCATCTTTTTGTCATATAAATGGTCATTATAGGTTTCTTTATTTAAAAAAATGTGTTATATAATATATATACGTTACTAATTGTACAATGAATTGGCCACGGATTTTATTCGTTTGTCATATCATGACAAGGAATACACAGCAAGTGTGACTGTACGTCAGCTGGGGGAATGCTTTTTTTTCAATGGCACCTGATCCCATTTCGAACTCTTATGATTTTAGAGGTATAACATTTTCTCTGCTTCAGTAATCTTTTAAGCATTTAAATTTTTCAAACGAAAATCTGGAAATAAGAATGTCCAAAAGAAACTATAATATCCAGCAATATAGTATTCCGGCGATTAAAATAATTAAAATGAATTATATAATTACATAATATTCTACTCTTTCGACGAAAAACTCCTTCCTCAATAAACTGGTTGTCAAAGGGATACATTAGATAGGGCGTTTTCTTTTGATTGGAGGTGTTAGGAGTCGATTTTTTTTCAAGCGACAAGTGGAATTGGTGTACAAGTTTCGTAATGATGATAAACAAGCAAACAGACAAACGAGATTTCAAATTACCTTTTCTATTCAGCCAAGTGTAGCTAGGGATTTCTGGTCGTATTTCAAACCCGGTATTAAATTTTTCGAGTAATGCCACAGTTTTATCATAGCTTTCAGCTAGTCCAACAGTCCCCAGATTATGCCAAACGTTCCGATAAAATCGGGATGCAGTTTTCCCGCCAACCTCGCTTCGGCTTTCAAATATCACAATGTTCTGGAAACCTTGTTTCTATTCAAAAACATAAAAGCTAAATTGAAAGTACGATTTAAAAATGTATCATTTTACATGATATTGGGATGCTTTTACCAAACTGAAATCGATAAAAACTTTCCATTCTCAAATATGCTCTTTGTAAGATAGATCGATTGATAGACAATAGAATTATTTCACATAAAGCCTAACTTCTTTATAAACATGTTCGTTGTAATTTTCTTCTACTGTAAAGAAATTACAGTAGGTACATTTTATCTGACTTTTTAAAAAAAAAAAAAGAGTTGTTAATCAGCTGAAAACAATTTCTTAAGACCTATCTCGATTGATGTTCCTACAAATTTAATTAAAATTAGATGTTAGATGTTAGATCCGCTCGCATATTCGCTACACCAAACCTAATGTAGCGAATATGCGAACGGATCTCACATCTAATTTTAATTAGATTTGTGTTCCTACCTGAAGTTCAAAGGCCATATGTAATCCTGCAGGGCCTGCCCCTACAATAGCAATCCGATCCGTCACGGATCGTGGGCCCCTTGTTTCCAGGATATCCCCGGAGGAATTCCTGCAAACAAATAGTAGTAGGGGAAAACATAAATATATTTTTTCCATATGTATTATATTAATTGCAATTATGGTGAAAAAAGCTTTTCCTCACTCATGATTAAGCAAATAGGCACAATTAACATAGGCGTCGGAACCGGGGGGCAAGGGGGGATTAGCACCCCCCCCCCCCCCCCCCCCCCCCCCCCCGCCACACACGTTTTTTACAAACATAGATTTAGTATAGACAAAGTACATTACGGCGTAGGTTTAACACCACCCCACTTTTCACTCACACGTTGCAGTTTAGGTTAGAAATGGGGAAAGTGATAGTGTTTGGAAAAAAAATTGGCACTGTAACCCCCACCACCACCACCACCATGAAATAAGATTATTGAGATGTGACAAAGGAATAAATTTCCCCCATTTTTTTCTTGCTAGGTTATTTTAGCTTCCCACGCCCAAGATTAAAGTTATCGAAGTATCGCACTGAAATGAAAGTTCGTACACGGTATATCTTCATGCACATCTGTTTCACGATTTATTATAAATGAATCACAATGGAAATTATTTTTTAAATATAGGTACTTACATGTATTTCGAGGGTTACTTTTTAACTTAAAAATTGTGGAGGAAGTTAGATCTGTTTTTGTAGCTTTTTTCATAAAGTGTTATATTTTTGCACCTCAAAGTTCACTAGGCTGTAATAAATTATAGATAAGCCTATATAATCACTGAATTATTTTTATTAAAATTTTTAGTATGAAAAAATTGTTTGCACATACTCTTGCACCTCCACGGCATTCAAAGGTGTTGACGTCAAAATAAAATGCACACTTTAATCTATTCTACCGCCTTTCCATTTTTGGTGTTTTTATAGTGACATTACTTTCTTCCTACTCTATAAGCAAATTACAAGTGGAATGCAAATATTTGATATTACGCACGTTTCAAAAAATGATATACAATATTTTTATCGCGTTTCCATGAGTAAAAAAGTCTCCTGAGAGACGTTAAACAATATACAATCAAACAATCAATATTACATGTATCATACAAAAGAAAAAGGATAAAAGATGACCTCTTTTTTCTGTTTTTTACTGAAATAAAATTTGTACCTTATTCACACATGTCAGGGGGTCATCGTCTGTAAAGAGTCCCTCGGTGCCATATCCAAAACTGTACTTCAGTACCAAAAAGAAACAAATAATATAAAACATCGACGTCATAATAAAAGATTTTTCAAAGCGTTTTCTATAATGAAGCGTACTTGTGTTTTGCGTAATATACGTGATACACTATATACATCTGTTGAAAAGCACTGTGAACCTAGGTACCACTATCAAATTCGATCGGTCAGCGCAGCACTAATAAAAAAATGTCATTTATGGTCAAATGAATGGCCCAGTTATGCTAGTAGTTCACCTTATGGTGTACAGTCATCACATTAATAGTATAAATAATACACATGTAGTTTTGTTCTCTTTTTAGGTCACCTGAGTAACTCAGGTGACCTATTGCTATCCGTTTTCGTCCGTCGTCGTCCGTCGTGCGTCGTGTGTCGTGTGTTAACATTTGAACATTTTCAGCTTCTTCTCTGAAACCACTGAACCAATTTCAACCAAATTTGGTATACAGCATCTATGGGTGGAGGGGAACAAAAATTGTGAATTTCATGGTCCCCGCCCCCTTGGGGCCTG